TTGCACATAAAATGTTTCACAATTTTGGTGTAACATGCTGCGCGCGCACCCTGCGCACCCTGAATTTCCAACACTGAATATATACCACAATGATGTTTAACATTATGTCTGATTTATAATTCCAGTCTGGGATTATACCATAAATGGAAATTAATTCTAGAATAATTTACAGTCACACCTCGAAATTTAATTGGCCTTTGATGATCTTTTCTACAAAAAAATCAAAAAAATCACAACATTCTTGTAAGCCCAAAAAAGGTACACATCATATAGTAGTACCATATTTTTATAATATCAACAAGCTCGTCTAAATACACAGTTTAATAATCCACTTTAATCCACAAAGGTTTACATATTAGTTTTTTTTTTTTAATAAGAGACATGTTTTGGCTTGAATTTTCAGTTATTTTTATTTTTTTTTATTTTTTTCGCATCGGTGCCCGAACTTTCTCCAAGTGTTCGTATCCGTCCTATGCGCATTCTTCCGCTCAGCATTCGCGGTGCTAGTGCTTTCACCTCTTTAAAGATGACAGTCACACAAAAACAAATTAAAAGAGATAATGAATAAATAGTTAAAGTATGAATGCATACCGAATAACAGATGTCTCCTTCAAACCTGAAAAACCTTGATCAATGATGACATCCCACACATGACAGTTGTACCATGCCTCCAAATACTGGCCTTTTAATCCTCCATACTCAATTTCCCTAACTCTGGGAAACAATTGTTTAGTTGAAATACTTCGATTTATGTAAATAAATTTGAATATATGATAACCTACAGCGCGCATAACGCAAATCTAATGTAATCTAGATCATGGTAAGCATCTTGATCATATTTCATATCAAACCTTTCATCTGGTTCAATAATTGTCTTACGTATCTCCTTTAGCGTTTTCTGACAAGAAGAATCAATTCAATGTATATATATGCATTGTTTGCCAATTAATATATAAAATAACCTTACCTTATCATTAAATTTGATAAGATAACCTATAATGCCTTATGACAGCTGTGGTATTTCTGGAACACATTCATTCTCCGTTTCTAGACGTTCAGCTTCACTAAAATGCTGTTTTATTAACTCATCATCCACATCCACAATAAATGAGTGGACTCCACTAGAAATACAGATCTCCAATCATACATTTTCCTAATAAATATCAGCAGATGAAATCACTAGCTCACTGTTCAAATTCCAGACCACGGCTAAGTTTATATAGTTCCTCTTCAACCACTCTACCACTTGTCTCCAACTTCCACATATTTTCCTTCTTCATTGACAAAAAGGCGATCTTGATTTCTTTGTGATTTGCATTGTTCAAACACCAAGGACCCATCTATTGCTACTTGCTAGCTTTCACGAATATTATATCTAAAATCGGAAATGTCAACAAAGAATTATATCTTATTCTCCTTGAAATTGTCTTCATTCACGGAAGACTTTTCAAAAAAAGGATTAAATACAGAAATTTCATAGAGTGAATCTTCCTCTTCCTCCTTTTTTTCCTGTTGTTCTGGTGAATGGTACCTGACATGCAACATATTTTATCTTTTGGGTGTACAGGGCTCATAATTAGCAATCTCTTGTTCTGCTTTATACAGCAGGGTTGGCTAATTGATTGTTCCATTGATAACTGATGGATTTTGAACTGGTACGTTGCCATTAATAAAATACCAAATATGGTTAAATTGTTACATTAATGGACCCAATGGACCATCAATAGACCATCAATAGACCGCAAATTTGCCAATCCTGTTATACAAAGACTCAGCCTAGTCGAATGTAAACTTAATCAGAAAAATAAACGATAATGTGCTTTCTCATATGATAGAAATATGTCTACTGTTTCTTATTAGTATTAGCTTTTGACAAAATATTATTCGGTAATGTTGAAAAATTTTTTTGTACCTGGCTATTCTCCACTATGCAAACTGCTGGATCTTGAGATTTCTGCTTTTATCTTCAACATTTTGCAACACGTTTTTTAGTGATTTTATTGCATTATTAGTTGCTATGGTATGTACTTGGTGTTTTTCTTTGTTGGAATCTCTCAACACACGTTTAACATAGTCCAACTATTTCATGTGGCAAACTCAGTTTCTTGCTAAAATATAAAAACCTTATAAAAGTTAGTTTAACAAGCCTGCATATTTTCTATTTCCCCATTATAGCGTTCTTTATTAATCAACATCCAGAAGTTGCTTAAAATTTCAGAGGACTTCTTGTTCTTTTTAGAAAACAGACCATTAATATAAAGCTAGATAGAAACCACTATACTATTAAAGAATCAAACATTGATATAAGTGGACCATAACATGGTACGTAGCCTGACAACCAGTTTGGATGTATCCATCCGGTTGTATTATGGCAATAATACATAGTCTACTCAGAAAAGACATAACTCCATTCTCACCAGCCAATGCGTAATCAGCTTGCTACCTGAGGTTTGTCAATACGTCACGTGATTGTCACAATGACCAGTTTATTTTATTCTTGAAAAAAACTTTTATTACTACTTGTACTTGCCATGGCATTTGTGATTCGCTCAACATCATGGTGGACAGGATTAAAAGATTCTTTGAGATGTACATGTTAAAAAATTTTCAGACTTTTACATAAAACGCGATTGAAAAAAAAACAGCATAATAACACAGTCTGGGATTATACCATAAATGGAAATTAATTCTAGAATAATTTAGAGTCTCACCTCGAAATTTAATTGGCCTTTGACGATCTTTTCTACAAAAAAAATCAAAAAAATCATGACATTTTTGTAAGCCCAAAAAAAGGTACACATAATATAGTAGTACCATATTTTTATAATATCAACAAGCTCGTCTAAATACACAGTTTAATAATCCACTTTAATCCACAAAGGTTTACATATTAGTTTTTTTTTTTTAATAAGAGACATGTTTTGGCTTGAATTTTCAGTTATTTTTATTTTTTTTTATTTTTTTCGCATGTAACTATCAAATTCCTACAACTATGATGTCAAATACAAGACAACTAGCCAAAATTTTACCATGTTTGTTTAAAGACATAGTTGATAAATATCCAAAGAGTCAATTACGACCATGTAAAACTGACTCACAAACATGGAAGCATGCATCAGCACCTGCTGCAGTTGAAAGAGTAAATAAATTAGCTAAGTATTTCCCTGAGTTATCTTTATTAAATAATTGTTTAGAAAATTGTTCATTATGTATAAATCATTATAATCAAGTTGTTGCTACTGACAATTTTTATCAGAATCTTTTAAATTCAGATCTAAGTTCAGACATATGTTTTAATTCAAAAAAACAAAAGGTTTTGACAAGATATACTGGAGATAGTAATAGTAGTATTGTTAAAAAATAGGCGCTAATCAAAAGACAGTATACCGAAAGATAGTATAATAATAACAGTTAACTTATGAACAAGTAACGTATGGATCTTTGAGTAATATAATTAGAAATGTTGGTTTATTTTATTTTGCTCACTCATTCATCTATTAATTAACTAAAAGAAAATATGTAACTTCAAAAAAAATATAATGGGGAAGCATAACATAATTAATAGTAGTAGATAATGAATTGTATATAACATCATATCAATATTGATTTTTTTCAAAAAAACAGATCTACCAATTAAACAATGGAATTGGATTATTGTTCAAAGCATTAATGGTGGTGGTAATAATAATATATCAATTACTGATAATAATTCTTTACTATTATGGTTATTGTTACTTATTTATTATTATGGCTTATTGTTAATGTGGTAGGTAATAATATATTATTATTAATATTTATTGTATAACATTGTATTAACAGGTTTATTATTATGGTTTATTGTTACGCGTGGTAAGTAATAATATATTATTAATAATAATTCTTATTAAATATATTAATATTTCTTTTTTTCCAAAATGGGTTCACTATTATTGTTACGCACGTGATCATCAAAGCAGTAAGTAATAATATATTATTATTTAATAATTTTATTATATATATAACATTGTATTAATATTTCTTTCTTCCAAAATGGATTCATAGTTAAACAATGGGTTATTTCCATACAACAATTAAAGAAAAAAATTAGTTATTATTTTATTATTATCATCGTCATTATTTATTGCTATGTATAAAATTTATTTGTATTTAAAAAAATAAATAAAGTTTCTTTTGCCAACTGTACATAAAAATAAAAATAAATTCTGTGTAAAAAAAATGAAGTTGTCATTATATTATTTTCGTGTGTTAGAAATTTTTATAGAAACCCCTAGAAAATTCTGATACTATATAAGGCGGGATCACTACACATCCATTTATGGTATAATCCCAGACTGAATTCAAAAAATAAAATTATTTTTTTAAACATAGCATGTATTCAATTTTAAGAAATGATTGGCATTAATTACACTACATATTAGGGATGTTAATCAGTCCTTTTGGGACCGGGTCCTGAACAGTCCGGACTGGACTTTTTCAGGTCCAGTCCTGCCATTTGGGACTTAAAGTCCTAAAATGTCCCTGTGTAACCTTATGTGCTGATTTTGTTTGAACCTAAAAAATTCAGTATGACACAATAAGGTTTGAAAAAAGAGTCCAAAGCAAATAATTATTATTAGAAGGTACTTTGATGC